AGATAGTTATGGAGGTCTTAAGTTTTTGGGATAGAAATTGACTTATAGCTTGCCAGAAAGGTATGATGAGTGGGCATGAGTAGAATAAATGTTGATTAAGTTCTGGTGCTGTGTTGCAAAAGGAGCAGTTTGGACCTATGTTCATGGATTTTGATATTTCAAAGTCCATCCATCCATCCATTTTCTTCCCCTTAATCCATTTCTGGGTTGGGGGGGTGGCAGTCAGAGCTGCACCCAGTACACAGAGCACCAGCCCCTCACTGATCCTCCTGCAGGTGGTGAGTCCACAGGAGTTGAGATCTTTCAGCGGGGGCTTTGGGCAAAGTGGGGTTAAGTGTCTTGCCCAAGGACACAACAACAGCAGTCATCAGTGGGAGTCGTGAAGTAGGTCTTGTGGTGGGCTCAAACCCACAACCTTCAGGCTCAAAGGCCAATGCTCTACCAACTGATCCACTGTCGCCCCACATATTTCAAAGTGTTTGGGGTAAATGTTGTGTAGGATTTTGAGATGAGTTTCACGAATGTTGTTATTGATGGGGAATTGGAAGGGTAATAGCCATGTGTTGTGCCAGTTTATATTGCAGAAGGTGGAGTTCCAAAAAAAAATTCCTCTGGGTTGAGTGCGTTTTGTGTTTTGGAATGTTCGGGGTCACTTCACATTTGTTGTCATTAGACTGGTTTGCATCTACTTCCTGGCGGAAAGATTTACATGTCCATGTAGCCAATGAGGAAAGCTTTCTATTAAGGGGTGGGACATATGTATACTGGGTTGGGTTGTCTCAGTAGAAGGCCGCGTAATACAGTCTATGCTGGAGACAGGCGCTGACGGAGCCGCAATGATTTTACATTCATAAAAAATTAACTTTGAAAAAATGTTTTAAAAAATCACATAGATTAACTTATAAGTTAAAAAATATGGTTTTCATGATAATGAAATGTCAGTAAAGCAATTTGGCACAATTATGCCAAATGGCACAACTTGATGAAAAGGAGAAACTGCATAAAAACTATAAAACTTAGAAGTCTGAAACTTTAGACAGTTGTAGACAGTCAACAACACAATGACCATAGGGTTGAATATTGTGAACTTACAATGAAGTATGCCTTTTTTAGGGCCTTTAGAAATTAAAAATTTTAGGCGAGGCTAAAAAAAATAGTTTTTTTCCCCCCAAACTTCAAAAGATGTAGAGTGAAATAGGAATGACAAACATAATTTTAGTATATATTTACATAAACTAGAAGGCTCTAGCTTTAAAATGATGCATCATACAAGCATGTGAGATGTACGATGTGTTTTTAAATAAGCAAAGACATTTGAGTATGCCCAACTTTTGTGCACAAGCCAAAATGAGGCGGGTGTTAAGAGGTTAAGACAGCCTTTAAACCCCGCTGTCTGCTCGTAGTGCTGCTGCGGGATTGGCAGCTGGTGTCCGCGGCTTGGGCCAGCCTGTGCGCTGCCCCTGCCCCTTCTACTTTTGCCTGTACACTACGTAACTTTTTGTGACACGCCAGGGGTTGTGCGCTCTACAGTCTCATACAGCGGTAGGTGCGCGTCCAACCCATCTCATTAAATCACATGTATTAATTATTATTAATCCCCAGGGGTCAGCAGCGGTCGGTGCTCCAACTGCGCTCTGCGCGCTTGGCTCGCGCGGAGTTATTCCCCCATTCTTTTTTTGTTTAACTAATGTATGAATATAAAGAAATGTAATTTAAGTAAGTAGTAGTAAGTAAGCTTTATTTATATATCGCCTTTCACAGACCAGAGTCACAAAGCGGTTTACAATTGTTATTTTTTGAGCACTTGTCCTCTCACTCCACACAGAGATGGGAGCGGGGTCGCCGAACAGGAGGCGCATGCCCTACCTATTGTACATATTTTTAGTGGCAGGGGAAACCTACGCGACACGGGGAGAACATGTAAACTCCACTCAGAAAGGCCCTGGTCCGGCCGGGATTCGAACCCAGGACCTTCTTGCTGAGAGGCGAGAGTGCTATCCACTCAGCCACCGTGCCGCCCGGACAGGCCAAATGGAACCTTGGCCTGTCCTATTACTTACCTGCGTGCCTTGAGGAATAGTTCCCTATAACTAAAATGGCGTTGTTGCAACCATTAGTCTAATATAGCGGTTTCCCTAAACTACCACCAGCTAAGGCTCAGTACCACGACATATAGACTTTCATATTATATTAGAACTTCATGATGTGTGTTTGTCTATTTGTGGAAGCAAACATGCTAAATGTTCAGCTTGAGTTCTTGTGTCGCTAACAGATGAAGGACGTTCACATGAACAACTCCAGTTAAACTAAAAGCTTATACTAGCATCTTTCTGTTTGGTTTTCCCTATTTCTCTTATGCTGACTTTATGATATAGTTTGTAATAACTATGTCTCTTCTAAAACTACTCTGTTTTTAGAGTAAACAATGTGTCATGCACAAGCCCCGGTGATCCAAGATGGCGCCCTATTCAAATGAATGGCTTGTGCTCAGTAGCGCATGGGACTTCACGAGACCGGGAGATTAGCTAAACTCGCCTATATTTGGGCAACCGGGTCCTCCCGGTTCTGCGCAGTGGATTATCTCCCATGATGCGTTATAGATCCATTATAGATCCATGCGCCCATGGATCTATAATATTAACAGTATAAGACCATAATACTATATGTTTGCATTTGATTGAGAGAAATGGTGAGTGTCTTCAAACTCAACATCTGGAGCTGGGACATAGAGTTGAGGCTTCTCTCTCTGTGTGTTAGCCGGTGTTGGCGTGTTCGCTGATGTTCGTAAAAATAATCCATCTTGTCAAACCACCTCCAGACTTTTCAGTTCTGTCCACTTTTACGGCTGGGATCTTTCATTTCACGGTGATCACTTTTACGCTTCATAACTTTTCTCTGCACTGATGTCTCTGATATCCATTCCTTCGTCCCTAGCGCTACCTTCGCTAACACATATTTACACTCACTCAGGTGGCACCATTGAGCTCAAACTGACCGCAAACCGGGTCGGACCCGGTCGGATCATAGATCCATGACTCCAGCCCGTGGAAACAGCCCTAATGTTCGCATATGTTGAGTTCTCGAAGATTGCTCCTCATCTGAACCGAGAGTCCTCAAAATCAGAATTACTGTCATAACAAGTACGCAAGGGCTCATAAATAAAAACCCCTGACTTGTATTGTCCATCACTGAATAAAAAATATCTGTTTAAAACGTCCATATACAACGTTATGGCTTACAAATCCATATCAACAAAGCCCAAAGACACCTACATGTACGTCACTTCTGACGTGTCGTACGTCACTTCCACCGTGTCATCCACACGGTGGATGACACAGAGGTTAAAATTCTGGCTCGGGAGAAGAATTGGTTTGAGAGAGGGGTGAAAGAAGCCATTTTTGTGAGGAAACAAAAACCTTCTCTTAACAGAGGAGGAGGGTTAAGATTTGTTTTGCCTCGCATCTATGACGACATCCTAAAAACAACGCCCTAACTTGGGACAAGGTCAGTGACATGCTAATGAGTTAGGAGGGGTGAAACCTGCACTCCACTTGAGCATCCCAGCAGACAATAGGTCTGTGACATGCTAAGGAGTTAGGGTCGTTAGCCTCAGCAGGGTCGTTAGACCTGCTCCCTTCTACATCAAGCAGACCGTAGATTGTTTACGAGTTAGTATCAGGATTAGGGTGTGGCTTACCACACCCATAGGTTATAAATCTCCAACGCGCGGTCCGAGAATTCATTCCCTGAAGAAGTCCCCAGGTTGAGGACGAAACGTCGGGAAAACTTGCTAAGAAGTACAGATGATGGGTGAGAAACCTTCCTTTGCTTTCACTTCTGGTCTAGGCAATTTTTCCGCAAATTTCTTTATGCAAGATAATTATTGATAGAAACCGCTAAGGGTGAAACTATCTGTCAAAATGAGTTTTATTTAACACAAAAAAAGACCACGATATACCAACAAAATAGAATAGGTCCCTTTTTAAGTCACTTGCATTAGGACTGAAAAAACCTGCACTACTTATTGACACTGTTTCTGATTGACACTTTATATTGTACATAATATATCCTGCATTTAACATGTTTGCACATTTCTTTCTTTTGCACAATCTTGAGTGATTCTATCCATGCCATGATGACATTCAAATTTCTCCTGTGTGAGATCAATAAAGTCTATGTTATCTTATCTTATCTTAAAGGTTTCAGACTGCACACTACTCCCAGCCCCAGCTGTTCCAGCCCTGGTCTGTACCAGTGATCTGCAAAGATGGATGTGTTTATGTCAACGCAATAAGATAAATATTAAAATTTAAACATCCCCTTTTGTTCCTTTGCATTTTAAACTTTGAACCTGTGTGTGTCATTGTAAATATGCGTTACAAAAATAGAATCGGTGCTGGTTCTCAAGATGGCCGCCGGAGCGCATGACCTGTGAGAGTTCTGCAATCTGAAAATTATTTTCTCGGGAATATTAAAGAAAAAGTGGAAACTACAGAGCAAAGGATATCTGACTGCAAGGACAATGAGAAGAACGTCACATTAGTAATGATTCACACGTTGCATGCGCAAAAGCAGATAAACATGAAGGAAATTAAATGATTGAATTTGTGACAAAACTGATACGAGAGAAACTGGATGGCACCACTGAGCTTACATTCTCTGCTGCTAAAGTTCAATATAAACATCTGTAAATACCTCCTGCTGACTAGTGTGTTCTCCACAGTGTGACTTATCACTGAACCAAGTGGCATTACAGCTCCAGAGTTTATTGTTTACTATCTCACTATTGTATTATCCATTATCTTAAATAATAGATCATGTTTGATGTGGGTTAGGGTTATTTTTAGGTTAGGGTTAGTCTTGTTTTCTAATTGTAATACATTTGCTGTAATGGGAAACCATGACATTAGAGTTTCCACTGAGGGAAGAATAAAGTTTATCTTACCTTGTATAGTGCTATAGGTTTTTTTGTGCTTGTGTGTTATGTTGTGTTATGTTACCTCGGTGGGGAGCGGCTTCACACAGACACAGTAGCAGCAGGAGGCAGAGGACCTTCAGGTTCATGTTGATGGATGCTGGGAGTTTTTCCTCGTTGGTCTGTGATCGAAACAAAGCTGCTTTTATAGAAGAACAAACCCCAACTCCACCTTCATCATCGTCATCACTCGCTGATTAAACATTTCATTCTGATACATTGTTTCTGTTTGACTGGATGCTCGACAGAATCTCCTCTCACTGTGCACAAATGTGTCTTTATACACCTCTTTCATTCATTCATATTTTGTGATACACGGATCATTCGTTGTTACTCGAAGGGGAAAAAATCTCTGATTGCTAACTTGATCTTGTCATCTTTGATGTGGACGTTTCTGCTGTCTCCCATCACAGTACGAACCAGGCCTTGCCCTGCTTAGCTTCAGAATTAAATATACAAACTTTGGATCGACTTATTGTAAGAGAGAGGAAGCTCATCTGTAAGATCTTCTCCAAAGCCTCAAGGAGTTCACCCAAGATCTGTCCTCAGAGACTGGGGTCGTATGCCTAAAGATTCTGAGAGTCCTCTCAGAGAGCTCCTAACTTAACCTAAAAACTCCTAGCTGGGAGTCTTAGCTTGACAGTAATTCTAGAACATTTTTAGAGAACTCTGAGCAAGGAATGGACAAAAACTTTTATCTTGAGGAGGCATGGCCAACCCCATTGTTAGGTATGAGTCATCATTTCAGACGCTGTGATTAGTTGATCACAGCGAGAAAACATATTTTTGGTGACAATAGGCAAAATAAGGAATGGAATCTAATCTAGGGGAGACTGTGTTATTGTAATTAATATCCAGAAAAGATAGAAAGTCAGATATATCAATGTTAAATTTATACTGTGAATAGTTATAGTTATTAAGTTATACTACCACATCATCAGAGCTTGCTCAGCACCAATTTATCACACATATTTAACTCACGTATAACATAAGCACTTATTGTATATGTATTATATGACTTGGACCGTACGCGCGCTCTGATTGGTTGATTTGTGGTCTGATATTTTCCCATCTCGGACCGTTACCATGACAATCGGTCCACAGCCCGTATCACACAAAACCAAGTCGGACATGAACATACTTCACAAATATCTCAAAAGCATTGGTAAAGACACAGACGAGAGTGATATAATAATGTTTTATTATATGACGAGAGTCATATAATAAAACATTTATTAACCTTGCTTGCTCGGTCTGCACAGAGAAATATCAGACCTTGGCCTTTTTGCACAGACCCGGCCGCGGTCTGATATTTCCCCATACAGACCTCGCGCTCGGTTAATAAGCCGTTAATACACAGTACAGACCAAAAGTTTGGACACACCCACTCATTCAAAGAGTTTATTTTCATGATTATGAAAATTGTAGATTCACACTGAAGGCATCAAAACTATGAATTCACTCATGTGGAATTATGTACGTACTACAAAAAAAAGTATGAAACAACTGAAAATATGTCTCATATTCTGGGTTCTTCAAAGTAGCACCTTTTGCTCTGATTTCTGCTTCGCACACTCTTGGCAATCTCTTGATGAGCTTCAAGAGGACCTGAAATGGTCTTCCAACAGTCTTGAAGGAGTTCCTAGAGATGCTTAGCACATTTTGGCCCACTCTGTGGTCCAGCTCACCCCAAAACCATCTGGACTGGGTTCAGGTCCGGTGACTGTTGAGGCCAGGTCATCTGGCCCAGCACCCACCACACTCCTTATTGGTCAAACTGCCCTTACACAGCCTGAATGAGAAAGTGTGTCCAAACTTTTGGTCTGCACAGTATTAACAAAATAGTAGTTATATTTAACTTTCTTTTATTAATTACCATGCTGGTCATTTTTCCTTTTCTATCTACTTTTGTGTAACAAGGGTAAAATGGATTAGGTGTTATGGCTGACCAGCCTATAAGAAGCTGGTCACATGATTGACTTTTAGATATACCACAAATATGATTCCTGCGCGATTCAATCTGTAGTGTTTCACTGATTCACTGTCATCCGGTGTTTGTAGAATATCTCTTCTGTCTCTTCCATTTTGTCCTCTTAGGGAACTCTTTTGCTAAAAGTCCTCCCCGCTACTCTTAAGAGATCTCACCTTAGGAGCTCTCTTAGGTGCTAGGATTCTTTAGGACTAGAACTTTTAGTGGAAATTCTAAAAGTAGTTCAAGATACAAAAAATCTTTAGGAATATGGCCCTAGGACTTCAGGTACTGTCCTCAGAGACACAGTGCAACACATATGTTCCACAAAAGAACAACACAACTGTTATGTTATTTTTGTTGCTGTAATCTCAAACCAACTGTAGCCAAACCTGTTGTTGTACCAAAGTACATTTTGCTACAACATACTTTTTTCTTGTAACGTTTAAAATGTGCAGATCGCAAAATGATAAAACCAGGCCTGAAGTGGTTCGCCATGCTTCTATGAGAATCATACAGGAAGTCACAAAAGTAGCTTTTGTAGTAGTGCAGAGAAGTAATATTAAAGTAAGAATAAATAGAAATGCATGCATCAAAATATTTATACAATTATAATTTAATAAGGCACACAACCCAGAGGTATGAGTTTAAAGCAGAGTTTGTGCTTTACAGCTGAGGGTCTTTGTTTTGATTCCACCTTCAGGCCTTTCTGTGTGGAGTTTGCGCTTTCTCCCGGTGTCTGTGCAGGTTTACTCCAGGTGCTCCAGTTTCCCCTACCACTGAAAACATGTTCAAGAGGAATAGGAGATGAATGTGACGAGAGAGAGTGGATGGTGATGGTTAGAGGCTGCGATCCCAGAGTCACTGGCCTCGCAAAATAGGCGTACGCAAAATATTTACACATTTCGGGATTTATCAGTCTGGAAGTGAGCGTACAGTACGCACTGAATTTCCGTTTATGTTTTTATAAACTAATGCAGTGGTTCCCAGCCTTATTGTCTAACGTACCCCTTGGGCCTTTCTTTAATTCATACTCTGACAACCCTCTGATTCAATGAATATGCTGATTAGTTAGAAACAGAATGATAAAAATCTTTCCATTCCATTTTCTTCCGCTTCATCCGTTGCCAGCAGTCTAAGCAGACGCCCAGACTTCCCTATCCACACACACTTCCTCCAGCTCGTCCGGGGGGACCTCAAGACGTTCCCAGGCCAGCTGAGAGACATAGTCTCTCCAGCGTGTCCTGGGTCTTCCCCGGGGCCTCCTCCCGGTGGGACGTCCCCGGAACACCTCCCCAGGGAGGCGTCCAGGAGGCATCCGGAACAGATGCCCGAGCCACCTCAACTGGTTCCTCTCGACGTGAAGAAGCAGCGGCTCTACTCCGAGCTCCTCCCGTGTGACTGAGCTCCTCACTCTATCTCTAAGGGAGCGCCCAGCCACTCTGCGGAGGAAGCTCATTTCGACCCCCTTGTATCCGCGATCTCGTTCTTTCGGTCATCACCCAAAGCTCATGACCATAGGTGAGGGAGGGAACAAAGATTGACCGGTAAATCGAGAGCTTTGCCTTTCGGCTCAGCTCCCTCTTCACCACAACGGTCCGATACAGAGACCGCATCACTGCGCACGCTGCACCGATCCGCCTGTCAATCTCACACTCCATCCTTCCCTCTCTCATGAACAAGACCCCAAGATACTTGAAGTCCTCCACTTGAGGAAGGACCTCCCCACCCACCCGAAGAGTGGTAAAAATCTAATTATTAAAATGAAAATGTATTACTTGAAGGATGGCTAAACACTCAAATCTCTTTACAGTTAAATTTTTTTGAATGTATCTTCTTTGACCAAACCAATCAAAAATACAAATTGTTTGTTGTTCGTGGCTTGTTGGAGAAAGTGGCTGTGCTAGATCCTCTAACCTGAGACTGTGAGGGTGAATACTTCCTGTCCTATTCAGTTACTATTTTATTTTGCACAATTGTGACATGAAGAAGAATTGTAATGAGAGAAGGAGGAAGAAGGGGAGTCTCCATAATGAATAGAACAAAAAGTACCTGCACTGTAATAAGTGAATCAAACCAAACTTTGATATTTGATATTACTGTATACTTCATTTTTCATTATTTTACATTTTTGTTGACAAATAAGTACTGTATAATATTATCAGAGCACCCTGTACAATACTGAGTTTATTGCTTTAAGTCAGTGTCTCCCAAAGTGGGGTCCGCGGCCCCCTGGTGGGCCGCGAGGGTACTGCAGGGGGGCCGCGGGAGGTCATAAAAAAATAAAAATAAAAAAAATAATTATTTAATGTTAAATTTATAATGTTTTGTTTGTAATATTAAAATATTTGTGTTCATTATTTGACTTGAATAATCCACTGTAATCATTTTTGTATTACAATGTTTGTAGCAGAGGCTATTTCCCCAAAATAAAATAACCAGAAGAGCCTATTTTTAATGTTGTCTTCTTGGTTATTATTTTGGGGGGGCCACGCAGACCCGTCAGATTTTTAAGGGGGCCTCGGTGTTACTGAGTTTGGGAATGGCTGCTTTAAGTGAAAACACTTTATGTATTTCTTTTGTAAGCCTGGGGGTCCATTAATGACAAAACACATATATTGTGTTGATTGAAAACAAATGTATTGGGCGAAGCAGTGACGCTACCCAGAATGCATTGCAGAGAAAAATATAAATTCTACATTTCAGCATTCATTTTGAGAGTGAATATGAAGCAAGTCCTAAAGCAAAATACTTGACCAACATTCTCAGTAAACTAATTTGACCAAATTGTATTTGTTTTTACCAACCGTAATCGACAGAGCCAAGCCAAAGTAACCCGGTGTCATCATGTTATGTTCATGTCATTTATAAAACTAAAATGGATTAGTACAAACAATGTGTAAGTTATTTTAGTGAGCTAATGAGTGTTAATAAAGACTGTGTTTAATGAACTTATATTGTTTTGTTTAGGGTATTCATAAAACTAATCTTTATTGAAGGAACGAGTTTCCTTAAGAATCATTATTTTTCTTATTCAGGTTTACAGTGTAGAAAAAAGCAAAAAACTAAAACAATTGTAAAGCACAAAAACAACTGTTTCAGAGCGACTTAGGACTTGCAGCCGTTTCCAGCGCAATCAAAATATGTATGTGCATGTTTAGTCATATGCTGTGTCAGTATGGAAAATGTTTACAACAGTATGTAGTTTATGTGATTCAAATAAATAGGGGGTGGGAGTTTAAAAGTCTTAACTTCTTCCCACTCCCTTTCGAGCTGACTTTTTGTTAATAAAACAAAACATATTGTATATGGGTTTATTGTTTATTTGTTTTATTGTATTTTTTCTATTCAGTTGTTTTGTTGCTGTTCCTTGTTCTTGTCTGACATGGCTCGAAATAAAAGTATTCATTCATTCATTCAAAGGCTTTGTGGTCCAGTAAATTCAAAACGCTGTAGCTCGAGTCCTAACTATAACCAGGAAGTACCATCACATTAGTCCTGGTCTCAGGTCTCTGCTTCCTGTGGCTC